TATTTGTGATTTTAATTATAGATATTTCTAACTGTTTTTGTGTGTATGTGCAATTAAAAGCTTCAGTCAATATTACCATATTACAAATATTCAAAATATCATTTTATATCATAAAATTTCAAAGAATTGCAAAATTAGAATATAAAAGCGTAAAGTAAAAATCGAAAAAAGCAGAATATAAAGTCCAAAAAAAAGAACACTAAAAGCACTACTAAATTGAAGGGACTTGAAGTTATTTAAATAAACAAGCAAATCTTCAAAACTTTTATTATAAATGTATATGAAGAGTAAGTAGAAGTTTTAACCATTTAATTATTAAAATTATTTAAGCTACGAAAAAAAACTTGTTATATTAAGCACTTTAAGAACATTTTTTTTAAGTGTATTCATTTTACTAACAAATTGCCTGTTAAAGCTGACTCAAGCTTTTGAGTTGAGCTTTTCATATTAAGCTTACATATTGAGTGATTTACTTGAGTAATATTTAAAACATTTTCTTTAATAGCAACTAAATATTTGGCTACAATTTTAGTAAGCATGCAATGCTGTTTAAATTTATATATATATACATTTATATATATATATAAATATGTATATATATTATATTATATTAAAAATATTATAATAAATGTTTTGCAAATTCTATTTAGTGTTAAGTTAATGTATGCATGTATGTGGTATTTAACTTATTGCATTTATTAATTAGGAATTGTGTTTTCTGTTAAAAACATTCAAACTTTCAACTTTAATAAATTTTTAAATGGTAGTAGTAATAACTTATTAGTTAATGTTTTCTTTTTAAATTTAATTTTATTCAACTTGTAGAAACACGCAACGCAGACACTAGTATATATCGAACTCTTCTTTAATAATTTTATTTTGGTATATTTTTATTATGATTTTCATTTAAATCCTATAATATATAAGAGTTAACTCACGAAAAATGTTTCAAATGTTTGTTTAATTTTATTTATATATGTTTATTGTATATACGAGTTTTAAAAACTCTTGTGTTGTTAATTAATTTTTTGAGTTTGAATAGATTCGTTAATTTTGGGTTGAATTCTCCCCCCTTTATTAAATATTTATTATTTTATATATTCCCTAATGTTTTCTTTGTATTTATACCTTTTTCGTTTATTGTATTTGTTTCTAGTTTTGTTTTAACGAGAAATATTGCCACACTGACTAAATTTAACTTCCATAAAACTGCAAAAAAAAACTGAACTTATAATATATTTAGAAATTTTGGAAGACATTTTTAATAACAAATGACTTGAAAATAAAATAATTTCAAATTTGAAAGCTTTTTAAATGATTTTAATTGATTTTAGATGTTAACATTTCAAATAAATTGTTGATTTAATAATACAATTTTTAACACATGGGCTTTCTACTTCCAATAGATATATAAAGATTTAGGATTTTAAAAGTTCGTTTATCCTACTAAAGCTTTTTTGGATAAATTTATAAAAACCTTTTTAAATGGTTTTAAAAACAAATTTGATCAGAGACAATTTAATGTACAAAATACTAAGATTATAAAAACAAAGTTGTCTGTTTACGATCTACTATAATAGTCTATCTGTTAGTGCTGTTAGCTAGCACTTTTTGTTTTATTATATATATCCATTTTAGTGCAGTTATAACGGTTTTGAAGGTTTACAAAAAAGATTTATACAAGGACTGCTCGTATGCATGAGCGAAGTGTATGAGTTCACTTCATTTTGATTTTTTAAATTATATTTTATTTAAATATAGAAAAATCTATAAGTAAGTTCACTTTACAATGGATAGTTTGAATTCGTATACTTAATCATTTCTGTTGTTGCAAATAAAGCGATAAGAGAATTAAAAATCTTTGTATGCTATATGAGATCCATAAAACAGAGAAACTTTGAAACAAATTGACATACCTTATATGTCTTAGAAACTAAAATGAAAAACTTGGTCTAATGTTTAGGAAAAAAAAAAAATTTCACAAAGAGAGAATTAATTTCACATTTTAAGGTTCTAAACTTTTCTTTGAAGTGAAAAAATTAATAATGTAGTTAACATTTGTATTTTGTTTCATATTAAAGGTTTATAATTAGAATGTTTTTTAAGCATGTGAAACTAAAACATTTAAAAAGCTTTCTCTTTAAAATAAACAAAGTTAATGAGAATTAAAAACAATGCAAAAAAAAAAAAATATTTTGACAGTTTATACTAGGGCTTAAAACCGGAGTTTTTTTCGTTTCCTTTTTCGTTTTTTCGATAAACAAAGTAAATTGCTTTAGTTCTGGTTTTTGGTTAAGTTTCGAGTCAATATTTTTCAAATGTTTTTTTTTGTAAACAGCTTTTTTATCATAATTTACGAATTTATTGAAGAGATATACGCGTGTATAAGCAGGTGGTACCGAGCTACTATATACAGTGCAGAACCAAAAAAAAACCTGATATACTTTTTTAGGTTCAGCTTCGGTTTGAAGCCCTAGTTTATATTCTCATAATAAATATAAAATATTTTATTTAAAATGAAAACATAAAAAATTTATATAGAGCAGATAAAAATATTATTCATTAAACTTATATTGCAATTAAAAACTTAAAATACAAAAAAAAAAGAAATAATTACTTAAATATTTTAAATAAATAATACATATTAAATATTATAGCAAATAATATTGATCAAAATTATTAAATGAGTAATTAATAATTTTAAAGAAAATAAAAGTTATATTTGGAAATCACTGACGTATTATTGTATGAAGTAGACTTTCACCGAATACAAATGAGTAGAGTAAACAATATAATAAAAAATTAATTACAAAAAGCAAATGAAGAATGATAGAAAAGGATAGCATATTTTCATTACAATAAGAAAAAATATTTATCAGTTACGTAGTAGAGCTTTAAGCACAAGTGTATGAGAAAGAGAGAGAGAGAAGAGAAAGCGAAAATATAAAAATAATAGAAAAGCACTGTGTTCGAAATTACACAAATTAAACCAAATAAATTGCACTTCTCAAGCAACCAATTAAGTGAAATAAATACTAAATAGCTTTTTTTATTTTTTTAAAATGTATTTTTAAATATTAAAAATAAAAATGAAAGTTACAACAATTTTTTTTTGGGTGCAATAAAATTATATCATCATTAAACAATATAACTAACTAAGGAAACAATTATATTAAATATTTTTTCTGAAAACACATTTTTAAGTTAAAGAGATTAAAGTAAATTGAATTAAATTAACATTTATTATTACAATACAACAAAAGTATAATATAATATAAGTTTTAAAAAAGTTTAATGAACAAATAATGAAACAAACTTAACGAAATTCTAATTTCGATGTTTTTAATGTAATGTACAATAGCGTCGATTGTCGATTTTACATAGAAATCATGATTTTACATAAGATTGTGCAAATCAGAGAGTAAAATTAATTATACTTAATTAAACAATTATAAACTCAGTTCATAAACATAAAATTATACAAAATATACCAGTTGTAGGCAATAATATTAGCAAACAAAATATATGTATACATAATATAATATAACAAAATCACACGAGATCTAACACAAAATAAATAAATTATTATTTTTATCTTTTTTTATTACATTTTGTATAAAACAAGTAACTTAAAGCTAACAGTGATGGTTTAAATACAAATTATATTTTAACAATATTAAAACATAAACAAGTCAAAGAGTAAGTTTCAAAAGTCTAAAAGGTAATGTTTTACATTCGTTTGCGTATAATTTCGTTGTTGACAGAGCTTAGAATATATATATATAGTTTAGTACTTCAACTACTAGATAGAGTACGCCTAAACTTAAAGTAAATCTGGGACTGAGAGTTTATAACTAACAACATGCAAATTTAAAATTTAAAGCAACTTAAACTAAAGTATTTACTTCGAATCAAAGTACTAAGTACTCAGTTAAACAATTTAAGTAGCAAATGAGTCATATATGGTATTAGCAATGTAGGAGTACCGTAAACTTGATAAGAACAAGAGTAATGTTTCAACTAAAAGAGTACTGGGCAAAAGTATTAGACAGTAGCAGTAGTAGATTCTGTGAAGAACGGAGCTGAGAGCATATTTTTTATTTCGTTCTTAAAAAAATAGGTGTGGGTATGATTTAATTTCAAATCAATTTTTTATTTAAGTAATTTTGAAAAATTAAAAACTATTACTTATTTAAATAGTTTAATTTCAAATGTTTATCAATATAAAAATTTTATTAATTAAATTAATGAATTAACAAAAAAATCTTACTTTAAAAATGTTTAATTTTGTTACACTTTAAAAACTCGTTCAATACTACACTGAAGTGTAGAACAAGCTTGAATCAATTTAAACCCAGCTCTACTCTCAGCTCAGCTCAGCTCAGCTCAACTCTACTTATTTTCATTAATCCTACTTTTATTATATATAACAAAAAAAAAAAATCTTTAAAAGATTACAACCAACAGCATTCGCTTGCTACTGAACGATGCAAACGTTGCCATTGCAAACGATTCCGGAGTTGTGTAGACCAGTGTTCTAAGTGTAAAAATGCAGTTTTAAACTAAAATATGAGAATAATTAGCTGTAGAGCTTTTAAGCTTAACTGATAGGACTGCGCTATCTCTAGAAAATCTACAAATAAAATTAATTATTTTTAGAAATTATTTAAAATTAACAAAAAAATCACTTATAATGCTATGGCGGCATAGGAACGAAATATTTCCATGTATCTATTATTATTATTTTTATCTATCGTTATACTTTATTATTCTTAGTTACGCTTTATTTTGAATACAGGATAAACATGACTCGCTTGAAGAAATCTAAAGCTATCACAGTATTTCGTTTTACCAGGTTACACTACACTTTTTTTTACACTTTAATAAATTTTTCCCTAAAAATTAATAAATGAACTGAACAACACAAATCTAAATCTAATTTATTATTATATAAACAAATAATTTAACTTCATTTTCAACTCAATAAAATTTAAAAAGAAGCTTGAAAGCTCTTTGAAAGAGTTTTTACACTTAATAATTATACATAATTCCGTTTACTTAATTTAATTTAAACTATTTTAGACTACCACAAAAATATAATTAACGTAAGGGCGAAGAATAGGCAGGCAAAAATACACGTAAACGAGTGTATGTAGCGTTATGAAAGCTTTGAAGTTTAGCAAGTTTTGGCATTGCAAAGCTCTAAGCCAAGCTTATTATCATTATAATATTATTAAGTACATCGGTTGTAGTAATTTACATAATCTTCCTTCTACATAGACTTTATTATCTTTACACTATTTACAATGTACAAACGATCACACAAATTTGTTAGTAAACATTTTGTAAGCTTAAAGCATGCATGGTCCATCATCACTCGAAAAGCAAGGACTTGAAGGGATGAAATTCAGAGCGAGAGCTTTTATGTAAATATAGAAAAAATAAAAGTAAAAGCTGTTAAATACGTTAGCGCTTGCTAGATGAATCTTTCTTCTCTAAAGCTGTTCTTAAGTATTTTTATAGATTTTCTAGGGTTAAAAGTTAAGTTCTATGAAAACTAGGCACAATCAAGGTTTAAATTACTAAAATACAATAACGAATCCATAGTGGCTTTAAAAATTTAAGTACAACAAAACTAAAATTACTTATAATATATCTAATTTAAAGTCAAAAAGTAAAAATCTATACTTTTCTGGCTCAAATATAAAGTTTTGTCATGTATTTCTCAAAAACATAAATATGCGGCTTAGCGCGAGGAGTTCTACTGAAGAGCCTTACGGTTTCAGTAAAACGTTTAAGAAGTTTTCATTTTTTTATAAGGATTAAGTACCATAGCACTGGTTGCGCTTGCAGTGCCTGGCGCGGCCATGGCGGCTTGCATACCAGCTGGCATTACGCCTGCCATACTGCCCATGGCAGCGAAAGGATAGGCTGCGGCTGTCGCTGGCATCATGCCGGGATAGAAGAAGCCTTGCTGTTGGGGCATAGCAGCAAATTGTGGACTGGCCGTAGCTTGCATAGCAACTGCTTGTGGTCGCATCATACCAGCAGCAGCTGCAGCAGCAGCGGCAGCATTAGAAGCTTGTATATAACCAGCCGTTGCGGGACGTGGTAAAAGACCGGCCGTAGGTGTGGCTGTATGGACTGGCGTGCCAACAGGTGTTGGAACACTTGATCCAGGTAGAGAACTTAAAGCACGCATTTGGGTAGCAGCTGCCACTGCCGCTGCCTCACGTTGTGCAGCGAGCAAACAAGCCTGTTGTTGTGCTTGGTGCGCTTGATGCGCTTGATGAGCCTGTAGAAGTGCATGATGTGTGAATTGCTGTTGTGTTGCAGCAGTTGCGGGCACTGCTGTCATGCACTTATTGAGAGACATGCCAGTATAGGCGGCGGCTGTTAGTGGTTTGCCGGTTAGGTTATGGTTTGTGGCGGCAGCCAGTTTGACGGCGTTTGCGTAATTCTTTTGCGCAACTTCCTTGGCTAGAGTGGCTGCATCAGTGTAGTACCCGCTAGTAGCAGCGGCTGGTGCTGCTACTGCGGTGTAAGGATTGGGATACGTGAAAGTAGGAATTGTAACGCCACCAGAAGCTGCGGCGCTTACTGCATATTGGTATTGAGCGTTTGTAATTGCTTGTGAGGTATGTGCAGTGCTAGAGGCGGGTGTGGCACCGTAGCTATGTGCAGCCATATAGCTGCCATAGGAGGTTGGTGCAGCTGCGTAAGTATTGTATAAGCGTTGCATATTTTGTTGTGCCTGATAAGCATTGGTCACAACAGAAGTAGTTGGTGTGGGCAATATACCGACACCGGGAGTAATTACACTGCTAGTGCTATAACTGGGAGCATTTCCTAGGGCGTCACCGTTCATAGCGACGGTACTTGGTATGATCGTTGGCTCACTATTTACCTTCGCATTATAAGTTGTGACAATGGTATTTGTAGGTGATTCGCATGCATTGCTAGCGAGAAGTGAGGAGTTAGTGGTAGCGTTTGCAGTCAGAGAGCTTGAAAAATTTGTGCCATTTGGCGTGTTGGGACTGTGTGCAATGGATTCGTGTTCGTTATCGCTTTGTGCATGATCAGTGGGGGTGTGTATGAGTGGTGAGTGACTTGCATTTGCAATGGCATCGTTCTCGTCATTGTATTCATATGTGTTAGTAGAAGCTGTGCTGTTGTTGTTACTATTACTGATGCTATTATTATTGTTAGTACTACAATTATCATTACTGCTGCTGTTGGTGTTGTTGTTGCTATCACTATTACCGTTCAAAGTAATTGAGTTCAAATTTTTAGAATTACTGCTACCAATATTGTTACTATTGTTACTAGAATTGATCGTATCTAAGTTACTAGCAGACATATCAGCTGTTGAAGTTGCTGTTGTTGTTAGAGAAGTAATAGCAGCGGCAGAAGTAGCAATATTATTACTTGTTGTTGCAGTTGTGGCTAATTTATTACTTAAATAATTATTTTTATTTACATAAGACAAATTATTATTATTGTTATTGTTGTTGTAATACGTCAAACTATTACTGTTACTACCCTGTATATTACTACTACTATTTGTCATTAAATAATTACTAATAGTTGCTGCAGTAGCAGTTGTTGTGGTTGTTGTCAAATTATTATTACTATTATTATTAATATTACTCTGATTATTTAGATTAGCGCTATTAATATGATAATTTTGATTTGCCATAGAGGTATTGGATATGGACATGGACATGGGTGGTTGTGGTGGTGGTGGTGGTAGTAGTACTTGTGGTGTGGTATTAGCACATATTGTTGTTGTTGCTGTAGTAGCACTAGCAGCAGCAGCAGTAGTAGTTGTACAATTGATAGTAGTACTTGTAGTATTTTGAGATTGGTACTCACATGACACTGGTACGAAAGGTTGCTGCAATTGCATTAACTGTTGGTATGTGGTCGCACCGGGTTGATACACTGGAATGCCTGATTTTTCAGCAGCAGGCCGCTTATATGGTACCATGCCAGAGAAAGCCTATGGGAGAAATTAAAAAAAAAGAGAGAGAGGAAAAAATATTAAAAATTAATATAAGTACAAAAAATATTTTTAAATTACAAATTTGTTATACTAGCATGAATATCAACTTTGCAGATATATTAAATGATATACACAATAATATACAAAAATATAAAGTAGCACAAAATAAGTAAGCATTTGAAGTGTCCATATCCGATCAAATTAAGGAGCAGCAAGGAGCAGAAGCCAATTAAAAGCGACTTTAATTAAATTCAGGAAATGTTCACAAAAAACATTTTCAAATAAAATATAAAATTACTTCAACTTTGTAGGAGAATGATTCTTTAGAGAGTCTTTTAAGTCTACATTTGTATTGGAGAAGTACATATATCATATGCACTCCAATCACTATGTGAAGAAATTGTTCAGACTGCTGAAAAAAGCTTTTAGTAGTAAGCATAATATAGTATTAGCATATAAAAGGAGTCCAAAAGCACTAACAAGCAACGATATAGTCAGTGTTTAGTATTGATTTAATTTTCATAATGACTTTATATTAGCAGATTAATAGGTCAAATAAAAGAAACATAAAGAAGAGTCTTGAAATATATATGAGTATCCTGCTGACTAGAAGCATATTTACATACATGTCAACTAAGATAAGATAAAAGGGAATTAATTAAGCAGCGGAGAAAGAATGATATCTATAAATAGAGAAAATTCTTAAGAATTCATAATTGAAATATAGAGTAGATATAAGGGATTTAAATGTAGATTTAGATGAACATTTTTGTACATGAATTGAACAAAGTCTTAAGAATTCATTAAGATAAAAGACACGAAAACTTCGAGTTAATGAATGTAAGGACTCTAAATGAAATAGTAAAAGAACATTAATTCTTAAGAATTAAGAAGAATGAATTTGAATAATCTTAATTAACTGGCTGAGGAATATTAGTGAAAAAAAAACTTAACAATTTATATTCGAAATATCAACTTAATAAAAGGGATCTAAATAAAGGAGTAGAGGTACATTTGTGTCTTCAAATGGAATAAAATCTACAGAATGTTTTTATACAAAGCACACGAAATCCTTGAGTTGTGCAATGGACATAAGGGATCTAATTAAGGATGCGATATCAGAAACTACTTGAAACAGTGAATGACGCTGTGATATATGTACCGCAGAAACCGAATCTTTATAAATTAGAAATAGCACATATTTTTTTACTTGGACATATAAATTTTTATTTATTGAAAAAATAGAACAAACTAAGAAGAAAATTAACAAATGTAGTCTTCTCTTTAAAGCTATAAAAGTTATTTTCATGCAGTACAGGATTCTTATATTTCTTACTTATATTTTATGGTATTTATGTCTTTTTCACTTTAATTTTGTTTTATAAATATATATATTCTATATGTTAATTAGCATTTTTTAAATACATAGCATATTACAAAGCTTTTCTATGAAGTTCGGCAACAAAAAAAAAAGAAAAGATATAATAATATTAATAGAATATGGATATTATTAATGTCTAAGCAAATAATGCAAGTTATAAGGCTTTCAGAAATAGATATTTTTTATAGTGACTGCATAGAAGAATAAGCTGAATTTTGATAGTGTTTGCTTTAAATAAAAATTTAATAAAGTAACTCTTTTTGTTGCAATCCTTTAGTCCTTTTTGCATGCATAGCATTTACGAGTACTAATATCAATAAAAATAATTTTTATAAATTTCTTTATTTCTTTACTTTTCGAACGAAATACTTTTAGAACAGCAAATAATTAATTTAAAAATATATATTTATTATTTTGTAATAGCAAATTGTACGGAAATGCAATTTTACTTTGTACTTACGAAATTTTCATAGTAAAATGAACCAACCGTTTTAACATCCATCTTTGTTAACGAAACATTTAAGTCAAAGTTAAATTTTTCGTTTTTTCGGATGTGTTGGCATTGTGAAGCAGTGTCGATATGGAAAGTAGTAGCAGTAGTAGTAGTAACGATTTGTACAGTTTCATTTTCAGATGTTAGTAGATTTTGCATTGGATTAACGTAACGTAACGCAACGTAACGTAACGAAACGTAACGTAACATAACGTAACGGAAACAGGAAACGTAAACACATTGATGAGGCAAATATGTAGACAATCACATACAGAAATAAATTGGAGAAAGCAGAAGAGAGAAAAGCATTTATTAGTATTTTTTATATGTGTAAATAAGAATGAAATCTGATATATATTATTATTAAGATATTTCGCTACATATCGGTTTATTATAATTATGATAAAATAAGAAACAAAGAGCTACGTAAGTTTGTACTGCTGTTTATATACATAAGGAGTTCGTATGTCTAATATATGAGGATTTAATGGGCACTTTCCTTGTGTTAGTTCCCTTTTAGGGCAAATCAACTTAATTCATATATGTAAATTTCAAGGAGTTCGTTTATTTTCTAACTTAAATGCAATACTTGCAGTGTTAACATATATTTTTATATAGAAGGCAATGAGCTTGCAAATATTTAATTTAAAAAAAATTGCTGCAACTAAAAAGTGTGAAAGGATATTGCATGCATAAAGTTTAAAATTACTTTAAATAGAAAATTATTCGAAAGTTTAATGTAATAATTTGTACAATTACAATAGAAATAATAGTAACTTTTAAACAACATAAAAAATAATTCAATTACTTAATGGGTTTTAAAAAGCGAATTTTTTGTTTTTTAGAACGAAGTTTGTTTTCTAAAAGTATTGTAGTCTAAACAATAAGTCCCTTTTTACGGTAGTAGTCCACACTTTTGTAGTTGTGAAATAATAAAATTTAAAAAAATTTATACATTTGTTATTGTAATATAATAATTTGATTTCTTCAAAAAGAATTTTAAAAATTGGTGCCGTGCTGCTAACTTCATTCAGTGATAGCAAACTTATAGCATAGAGAGTTGAATAATATATCGATTCAAAGTAAGCACGAAAGCACATAATGTTTAAAAGCTTTTTTTTAGCACAAAAGAGCTTTCTCTCACATAAGTGAACTGGAAGTATACGTAAGAGTTTGATTGTTTAATATGATACATATAATTAAATACAAGAAAAGAAAGTTACTTAATATTATAAGTTAATATTATAGATTCCTTGGGGAGGTATGCAGAACTGAGGTCAATGATTGCTTAGTCTGATGAAGTGATAAACAATAATTCAGACACGACGTAGAGAGGATTTATGAAGAAACCTCGCAGTTACTAGCCTCAACAGAATAATATACTATAACATAATATATTATTAAATATTGAAATATTGAAACATGGCAAGAACTTTCTTCAAATATTAAACCAATAAAAGAGGAAAATATTGTCCTCAAGAATGTTGTACTGGTTTGAACACCCATATGATATTGGACATTTGCCTATAGATTGATTAAAGGACATATACAGCTTTAATATAAAACTAAATATATGGGGCGACTTCGAAAAAATAATTATTTAGAAACATATGTTTCATTTAAATGTGTCAATAAGGTGAACCACTCAATAGACGTGATCTAAGCAGAGAATGACATGAAAGCTGCATTTATTAAACTTATGAAATTATGTGTAAATTAGTCATATCTACATCAGATGTATAACAAATACTGCTGTGAAGACGAGGGGTTAATGGACAGGCAAACGAATACTGATACTGCTGTCAAGGCGATAAGATAATGAGGCCTATAGTTGCCAAATCTCTAGCACCAGGATAGAGTCAGAAACTCGGCAATTAGACGTTCCATTTTCTCTTAGTATCTACATACAATTGATAATTGGAAGATAGAAGCTAACAGTATAGAACTGTGGCCTGCAATTCAATGGTCAGTTTGCTCGAATGAATAAAAAGGACAACTACTTTCCGTATTCATTTGATTTGACATCGCAAGACTTGTACTTTACCGGAAAACTACAATATCCAATGGAAGGAATGCGTTTTATTGTAAACGCGTAAAACCATCTAAAAGGTTTGTGCCGGTGATTATATCATAATATGCAATATATTTCCAATTTACAATTTAGTCAAATAATGCTTATTTATGATTTTACGATTTAAGTAAAAAACGAGGACAATTTTGGAGAATTTTTCAATAGATATGGCGATTTTTAATAGAAATGTACAGTATGAGAAAAAACAAACATATAAAAGAAGCATGCAATGGATTTTAATAACGAAACCTAAAAATATGCAACAGTTATTAAAGAAAATATGTGTGCAGCTGAGAATAAACAAAATTTGTAAGAACAAAAATTGTTCTTTTTTTAATGTAAAAATGAACAACAAATTTAAATTAATTAAGTTAAATTTTGAAACTTTAAAAATGAAAAATTAGTTAAAGTCATTAAAAACATCAAAGATAATTTTTGATCTCAAACTCAAAACAAAAAATAATTGATTATAAAAGTAAAAACACAAAAACAAAACAAAAAAAATAAGAACCAAATAAATGAAACAAAACAAAACAACGAAATAAGAAAATAAGAAAAAAATGACAAATACCAGTTGAAACATATCATTTTCGGCTGCGCGTTTCTTGCCCATCTCCAATTGATGCTGGCTAATGGCAACTGCTGTTGGCGGTGCTGCTGTGTGTGCTGGATGTGCAGCAGCGACGGGCGTTGGGATGGCGGTAGGATGATGTGTCAGTGTGGCGGCATTAACTGATGCAGTCTATTAACGTGTTCGCAAGATATTACGTGTTTTTTGTTTGTTTGTGTGTGTTCATGTAATGCGATAGTTTGTGGGTGTGTGTGAGTGTATGTTTAAGTGTGTTTATACATGCGTGCAATTGTTGCATTCATACGTGTTCATTTATGTCGCATTATAAATATTTTTTTTTAATTGTTTTTTATGATTGCAGTTGTGTTGTTATTGTTGTGGAACAGATTTTAATAATTATTATTTAAAGATTTGTAAATTTATGAATTTATGCGTTTTTTAATATTTTAATTTTTATTTAATTTTGCAGTTAATAAAATTTAATGGTTGATTTGTTGCGAACAATTAATTTTAAACGCAAAAAATTTTAATTTTCACATGAAATTATTATTTTGAATTAAGCATGGAATTTTGTTGATCATTTAAATGTAATTTGCATTTATATTTGTGCAATTAAAAAAATTTTAATTTTACATAATTATATTTATATTAAGTAAAAATTTATACAATTCAAGCAAAAAAAGCATTTTTTTTTACATTGTCATAAAAATTAATTAATATTAAATATAGAATTTAATAAAAACATAATTGTTACGAAGAAATAACAGTGACAAGAAATTTTTAAAATAGTTTTAAAGCATTTAAAAAGCAAAATTTTATTTAATATATTATTATTTAATATTAAAAGAAAATACATATGTATTTAAAGATATGAGTTTTATATAATTTATTGTTTATATAAAAATATTTTGTGTATTTTTAGTGTTTTTGTTTTGATTGTAGACCATCCATCGAAGCAATACAAAGGCACAGGCGAACAGTTGAAATAAAAAGTCAAAAGAAAATGAAAACAAAAAAAAAAAATCTTTAATTTTCAATGAAAAATATATGAAAATTTTGAACATTCTTTTTTTAATAAAACTATTTAAAATATAAAATTTATAATAATGTTGAAATAGACTAACAGTGTTGCTAATAAATAATATGTTCAAAGAGTATTTAAACGAGAAATTTTGTTATTGAAGAATCCGTCTGATGCAGGACAATATACCTTAACCGATTCGTAATTTGTAGATAATTTATTGCGGCAAGTATTCAGGTCACCAAACCTTCGCTATTATTCCATCAGATTTAAGAAATTTTCCATAGCAATTTTCTGTTATAAAATATCACCACGATGAAAGCTTAACTGGGTCCCTATATAAACCCACTTACCCATTAATATAAACCCACTTAAGCCCATGAATATTAATATATCAAAATAAGAATTTTTTGATAACTGTTTCCAAACTTGTTAGGTAATTTAGTAGTAAAGAGAGTAAAGACTACGTAAGATTAGAATAGTTTTGTTAAAATATATGCAAGAACTACGAAAAAATTTCAATATTAAAGTAGGCGCACGATACAGCTACGCTCTTAACTATTTAAGAGTAGTTATTTAAAAGACTATGTCAAGAAAAACTAAAATAATATTGATCGTAAGACTATCCGACTGAGAACCGTTGAATACAGGTTACAAAAAGGGTTACCCGTCATTAGAAGATAAATAATCTACTGATTATATTTACTTTTTTTAAACGATTACCATATACTGTATATGTAAGTAGGGAAAGGACAAACAATTTTTAAAAATCTTAAGAAGAGCGTAGCATAAACAAGGATAGATAATACTATTTTATACTATATTGTACAAAAAGAACATTATTCTATAATGTACTGTAAATTATTTTAAATCATTTTATAAATGGTTTAAATAAAATCAGAAGAATAGACAATTCATTTCTAAAATGGAGAAAGAAAGTCAGATGGTTATTTTGTAAGAGATAAATGTAATAAATTTAGAAGTACTAAGCTGGTTTCAATTCTCAGATAAGATCAGTAAGTAACCCACGACTATATTTAAATACAATTAAATTTAAAAAACAAAACCAAGTTAGAAAGAAATAGATTGTTTGAAGTAACCCAATCCAAATTTGTGATACAGTGAAAGCTCATAATACCTTCGAATTCAGGAATTCTATATGATTAAGATAACCGTTCGTTTGAAAAAATATATATGAACATTCTAAACTGGGAATGAGCAAGACTTCATGTTTAAGAGAGTTTAATGTTTTTGAGATTTTTTCTTAAGCAGGGTTCACTGTACTTCCAACAATGCATTATATTTGTCGTATAATATACTATGTTTAGAGCTAGCAACACTGTTAGTAAAATACATATAATTTAATTAAATTAATTAATGAGAAAATATTTATTATAAAATTAGATGCTATTTTTATACATATATATGTAGTGTTAAGTGAATTATATATATAAATTATATTAATTGAATAAAGCATTAAAATAATAAATACTATATAAATATTTTATACATATTATTATTAAAGAATATATGTATAGTTTGAAAAATTCCAAATTAATAGTCAAGATAATTAAAAGCTTTTTTAAAAGTAAATGCTTAAAGTGAAGCTTAAATGCAGAATAAGCATAATTGCACTTAAATTATATTTAATAAAGCATATAAGCCTTGCAATATGCCTCACTTATGAACTAACTTAGTTCCTAATACTAATCCCGATACATTAAATATCGTATAAATAATACGATAGAATCGAGAATATAGATAGAACAGTTGGGTGCTTTATATGTAGTGCACGGAAAATACATAAAAAGTTAAGTTTATTTTTTTATTTTTTTATTAACAGAATGTAATTTACATAGTAACTTATATATCAGAATCCTGTAATTGAGAATAATAAATTTAAAACTCTCTAAAACACATATAAAAATACAACAAAATCAGTTGTTTTTATAATACTTCATTAAATTATAATATTTGATTTTGATTTTAATAAATTTCGTAAACCAATTTTTATATAAAAAATATGATTATTTAAAATAAAATAAAGTTTTTACTTGGTTTCTTGCTTTTTTTAAATTTTTAACACACATTCATTTTACTTTTATTTTTTTTTGTAACAATACCAAAATAAATGCAATTAAATAAAGTCAACTGAAAATCAGAGACCAATTAAGGTGTAAAATTTTATTTGCAATAAATTTTTGTAACATATTTACCAATATTTTTCAAATAATAATTTTTTTATATTCATAATTTGCATACCTACCACCGATGCATCGTTGCAGCTTTACCAGTTTTCATATAGTTGAGAAAAATTTTTTTAAACAGTATTTAGGCGGAAAAGTTAAAAAAAGTTAAAATAAAAAAAAATTTAACTGAGTGTGCTCCACAAATAGACTTCACAGCGAGTTTTTCCCCGACAAATAAATTATGTGCAATTTTAACTAAATTTTTTGTCTGTTTTAATTTTGCATATCATATAAATTTCATTTTCACTTTAATTTTTTTGTATGCTTTATTATAGCGCTTTTTTTATATGCTGCTAATCCTTTTAACACCGCAATTTACAATAATATTATCCACGCCCAGGACAACACGTGCTAATGGTATCTATCGCATATTTATGAGTGTTGTAAAAAATCATTGCATACTTTTAGCTGTAGCAATTTCACCCGCCTCCCAACAAAAAAGTAATTCACAGAATTTCATAACAATGTGTTTTGTTGTGCTGTTTTTGTTTATTTCTCTGAGTTTATAAGGTGTTTTATTTGCATAAACCAAATGTGAGTGTGTGTGTTTCTGATATAAAAGTTTGTACGCCAGTGTATAAAAATTTACATTAAAATGGCTTAAAAAATGCCACGAACTGAAGGCAGCACAAGTTCAAATAAAAGAACACGGAATACATTAAAACACTGAACAAAGAATAACAAAAACAAAAAGAAAATTGAGTAAAAGTAATATTTTAAGGAAATAGGCAGGAACTCATAAGGTATGAGTGTATGTTGCAAAAGGATTAATTTGGTTTTAAATTCAACTGTGTGGCTGGCTGAGCAATGGCATAGATTGCCATTGACACTAAAGTGAAATCTTTTAAGTGTAGCTATATATTGGCATTAATTTCAAGTTTATGTAGAATGGGTGAAAGTTTTGCTAATTGTATAAAAAAAATGTGTGTTAAGTGTAATTCATTGCTATTGTAGTCTTGTAAGTCTCACTACCATCGAACATTGACAGTTCGATGGTATTGTAATCTGTGTTTTCAGTTAATTTTCCACTTCGTTTGGTATTCGGTCAACTAATCTACTACACGTCATAGATGTGACATCAGCATTTGTGCCAATTTCACTTTTTTCCCTTTATTTTTTTGTCGTTTAATTCTACTCTTAGTTTGTAATCAAAAACAATGGAGACTGAGTTCGTGTTAAATTTTTAGAGAGAATTTTAAAAAATTCAAGATTACTTTATATATCTGAATTTCGAGAAAACTTGTACAAATACAAAATACAAAAGTACGGATTAATAAAATCTAATAAAACTTATTAACACACTCAATTATATTCAAAACAAGACCTCATTTTCGAATAGAATAATATACTTCAATGTAAAGAAAATATTTGAGAATTATAATACCTGATTTAAATTTTCACGACAGTCCAATTACTTCTTTTTTGTACAGTTTCGATATAATAATGTCAAATTTTACTATAATTGAGTAAAGTGATTTTGGAGACTAAGTTATTTGTTCCTATCTCAGCAAGTAAGTATATAGTATAATTACTTTTTTTGTTTGTGATTTGTAATAGTTATTTATTTCTTACTTCCAAAAAGTAAATCAACAAGTATATGACAAAAAATAATTCAATTTTTATTACAGAATTGTTTATTATAGAGAATTATAACAAAAACTTATTAAAAATGTACAAAAATCTATAGCTTTAATTGCGTTATTTTAATTTAGTTTTTTTGTTTATACTCTGTTTACACTATGAACTTAAGCTATTATGAAATTGCTGTATATTATATTTAATCCTTTTATACCAATTATTTTTTTGATGTTTTGTTTGAATTACTCCAACGACACAATTTTTTAACAATTCATTTCATATCGTTTTTATTATTCTCCTAAAAGTAGGCTTCAAAAAACCTC